ATATATATATATATATATATATATATATATATATATATATATGCATGCTACTTTCATGCCAACGCGATTTATAATAATATACGTTTTGCTACGATAAACATGGCATATATAACGCGAGAAAACTTGCTCGATTTGAATTTTCCAATCATCATCATGCGTTTGTACGTACCAGCGTCTGTCGTCCAAGCGATTGCTGACCAGACATACTGTTCGCGTTACCGTTGTTGGTGATGCTGTTATTGACGTTGCTACCAGGCGGCCCTGAACCGCTTTGATTGACTAACTGTTGGGCTAACGCAGGATTGGGCTCGCTCATGTTTAGCTGCTCGTTTATCACCATGCAGAACTCTCCGATCTTCTGTATGTCTCCACTTTTGCCCGAGTAAAGGGTCAAACACTGTCGCCAGACCGAGGCGTACCCTTTAGTAAGCCGGACAATATCGCCCGGCACTAAGAGCTGTCCCGGCTCGTCCCAGATGGAGACGTTCATGCAGGCGGTGCTGTCGGCCACTTTGAACGTTCGAACTTCGCGGTTCTCTTTGGTAATAGTAGGGTGGCTAACCTCCAGAACGATAAACACTACATTGATGTTCTTCTGGCCCGGTCGGATATCTTTTATCATCACGAACTCCATCGCGCTTCGCACAACGGCTCACATGCACACATACAAACTGTGAGTCACACGGCGATTGTGCCTTCTCGGTCCGAAAGTGTGTGTCACCGTGGATTCCGCCGTATTCGCCGTTGTCGGGCCTCCCGTCGTTCTCGTGCTCTTCGTAAGACGCGCGTTCTCCGAATGACCCGACGGTGTCCGTGCGCGACAAATATACCCTCCCTTCCCCCGAATAAAGCTCTCCCTACCTCTGACCGTTCCTACCCACGGTCCCGCACGACGCTCTGCGATAAGAAGTCGATCGCCTGTCAACCTGTTTTTAGCACGCTGATGATCGTTCGTTCGTGCGACGTGCTCGAGTTGAGTGTCACCGGAACAAAACCGCAGTTGACATTCGAGCGACGGTGGTGCATCGGAGGAATTGGACGAGGTTTCGCCACGACCGCTGCACCATCGATAGGCGACAGTGGCCGAACGTCGGCCATGTTGTCGCAATTGATCGCGCGACCGTTGGGCGCGCCACGCACGTCGACCATCGCCCCTCAAGCGCGCTGCGCGTCTTCTTGAACTTTCGCGCGAACATCACGTGACGTCCGTGTGCGCATGCGACAGCTCCTTAAGTCTGTTCTTTGTAGCTGCACGTGTTGCACTATGTGCGCTTCAGGAGTTTATTATAATTCTGTGTTTAATGTTCATTATATACACGCATCGAAGGAAGCGTACTTTCGTAATTTCAGCACGAAAACGTGCAAAACGAAGTCTCAGTTGGAATTTACTAGATGATTTACAATTTCAATAGGTTTGTTCGTTTTCGAACAATTTTCGAACTAGTGCACTCTAGTGTAATAAGTTAGTGAAAAAATATATACTTGCTTCACTCTATAGGATTATCTACAATGCGGTCGCAATTATGTTTTCGAGTCGTAGCACTACCCATACGGTACAAATATCCGAAATACACCCCAGAGACATCCCAGAGATATCACATTATCCCTGGAACGTCTTTGGGATATATTTCAGACATTTGGTGTTGTATGGGCTAGTTTGTGAATTGTATATTTATTCCTTTAACGTAAATTCGTGAAAAATGAAAAGTCTTATTGAAAAGTTTATCAATAAAACTTTTCATTTTACATGAATTTACGCAAAGGAAATAAATACATGAAATTCATGATCACAATAAGTGAAATTATTTTTCTTTTTTTTTTATATTAAACTTACTCCGCGTATTGTAGACGAGCCTTTATATGAACAGACCTCTGGTTTTCTCCCTTGCTAGCAGCTAGTCAACACCAATTGACGTTAGTCGTTATTGATATCGGTGATCAGCTGTAGCGCGGTCAGCTGGCGGAAATACGGAGTTGTCGCGCCCAATCTATTTCGTGTTTATTTATCACCGAAACGAACTGTTGGCGATGATCCTACCGTATGCGTGAAAGTTGCGAAGCAGCGCATATTCGCTCACGCGCATTGCTTATAACACGTATTAATGTGCCCTATATTGACGCTGCGTGTGCCTTTAATTTTGTTTATCGTTGTAAGATTGTAACTCGTTATTAAAGTCACGTAAGTGTCAACTCTTGTATTCCACCTCTCCTCGGTGTCGATAAAAGCGACCGACGTCCCGGAGCAACGTCTGTCGTCGATCGATTTTGATCAAATGCCAAATACAACCGCTTCACCGTCCTTCTCTCACGGTGTTTGCAGGTTCTTCCAATGTTGGCCTCGGGTTGCTCGTTTGAAGTAAGGTTAGAGTGATCTCTCCAGATTATATCTGTAACATCGTATCGCGGTGTAATAACCGGAAAGAAACGGCACGTTTCGTATTACCTCGAAAAAATGAGCTCGATTCTCGATAGTGATATGTAGTAAGATACTTCCTTGCTGTAAAAATTTTACGTGAATCTCGTAAAGAGGTCTGAATAAGGCTTATCTGGCCGGGCACACGGATCTCTGGTGTATTTAATGTCAACGTAACGCCTGTGGACAATGGACAGTGAGGATTCTCTGGACCCACAGGAGCTACAGGAGACCCTCCAGACATACAGGAAGCTCGCCAACGATTTTGCAAACCATGATACTATTTTGAAGGTAAAAACTTTCTTTCATTCTTAGAGCTTAGTAGTTCATATTTATGACTCGTTGATCATTGTGTTCTAATTGTGATTTTATATGAGAGACCTTTATCATTTTCTTCAGGATTGTCAATTTGTTTATACATAAATTGTGATACTCTATGTGTAGACAATATAAACTGAGATGAGTTAAGTGAAAATATAAATTTCTTTTAACAAATTTTTGATTAACCTATATGTTCTTTAAACAACATCCATAAACATGCTGACATGGTCCACATAGGTATCAATAATCTATGGATCTATGGATTTAAAGAATGTATGAGTTATTAAAACATTTATTAAGAGAAGTTTATATTTTCATTTAACTTTTAGAATTACTGATGTAAATTTATAAACATTGTTTCATGAGCAAGTTCAGAAATCTCTGGTTATATTCTTACATTTAGAGTTAAATTTCTCAGTCAGTCATATAATGAAATAAAAATTTTATATAATTTATCTTGTTTAAACACACATTATATTTATAATTAATATAAAAACAGATATAATACTGTCTTATTTAATTTATATTTAATATAATATTAAATTATTTGTTTTTATATATTTTAATATAATTTACAATATATATTCTAGAAAGTTTATATTGTTTACATGAAAAAAGATTGTATATATCACAACAAAATATAGGCAAAATGTAAACAATTCCTGTGGACCTAATCTTGAAATATACAGCAATATATTGATTTGAACAATATACAGCTTATTCAAAATAAAAAAAGAAAAGTTTATATTTTTAGTTAGTTTTTTAAATTTTGATGTAAATTTATAAGTATTGTTTTCTGAGCAAATTAGATATCACAGAATCAGGATATATTCATACTTTTAGAACAAAATTTACTAATCCATCATATGTAATGAAATAAAAATTTCATGCAATTTATCTTTTTTAAACTCTACATATATAAATAATATCCAAAACATATACCACAACTAAGTCACAATTTAATCACTCTTTTTATATATTTTAATATAATATTTATAAATAATATATTATAAATTGTTCTAATATAATTGAATATTGTAAATTGAATAATATCACTACAAATTTTTGTATAAAAGAAGACTGTGTATACATCACATAGAAGATACTTAAACAATCCATGTAGACAATCTTGAAATCTACAACACAACTCTAATTCTCTTTATCTATGTAGTTTGTGCAAAATATATGTTTCATCCTGTTATTTGTGTTACAGGACAAAACGGTTCTATCATACATAGCGTATGTCTTGGAAGTACCTGATGTAAATGTTGTTACTTTAGCTTTAGACATTCTGGAGATATTTGTGAAGAATGTAGATAATTATATACACATAACGTCCACCTTTGGTGTACGTGAATCATTGGAAGCCACCATAAATAAGTACAGTCTGAGTGAACCAAAGATATCAAATCGAGCGCAAAACATCAAAGATGACATAGAACGTATGAAACCACCTATATATAACTTACGCAGCCGTTGCAGACGAGTCATAGAACCTAAGAAGTTGAAGACTCACATGATAGTCTTACATGTTCAAGGTTTACTCCCGGTAATCAGAAACGCCCTTTCAATTTGTTAATATCATACATGTAAAGGATAGTTGTAAGTTAATTATAAACTACAATAGTGAAATAATTGATTAGGAAACTCGTGCCGAATTGGAAGCAATTTTAATAAGAATCGAAGGTCTGGTTTCGCTTGTTGTCGATGTAGAACATCAGCGTGTAACTATGCGTACCTTGAGCTACGTCACCGCTAAACAAATCGCAGAGGCAATCGACAAGAACACGGAAAACATGGAAGCGAGATTGGTTACAAGAAATAAATTTAATCAGGAATTTCTCGTAAAGTTGGTAAGCATTATCGTAATGTCTCAACTGACTCGCAAGTTATTTTTATTCTAGTTTAATACGATATTTGCGTATCTATAAATAACGAAAGATATTTTTATGTCAAATTGTCTTAATGGAAACATAATAAATTTCTTACAGCTGCAATCGGGCGATAACAGCGACAGCGAAGAAATGCCTGATTATTTACCTGAAGAGGAAGAACAAGATGATGACAAAGAAGGAGTTGTGTCATTATTTACTGGTTTAAAACAAAGCGCTTCATCTTTATATAAATCTACTGCTGAATTTCTAAGTAATTCATTTTACTGGTAGAACTTTCTTACAACTGCAACGGAAAAATTTTAATTATAACTTTATTTATTCTAAATTAATTGTTCATTTATTCTCGAAAGATGGCAACGGCAATCTATATGTATAGATATCCTAACTGTACGCATCAGAGACAAAAACTTCTTAAACAATTTATAATGATCTTGAGCAGTCGATTATTATTAATATAATCAGTTCAAGAACCTATTCCCCATATTTTTATCAACATTTACAGTTGATGATAATTAAAGTAGAATATAACAAAATCGATTTTTTATCGATTTTTACTGTTTATAATATGTAATGCTTTATACTCAATAGAAAATTAACATGTACAAATCATATTTCTAAGTTTTTACATCTATTTGTAAAAAAAGGTATGTTTTACGTATATTTGTATAAAGTTAGCCTTATTTTATCAATCACATGCATGTTCCAACTTAATTAAAAATAATTGATTTCTCATCGAATGTATGTTCCGCGATGTTATGTGTACTATAAAGTTAATTAACGGAATTCTACCCGTATAAATGAGAGCATTGTTACAAGCTTAATGTAAAGACGTCATAGCTTAAGTATGGATGTTAAATATATACGATATGGATATTCTCTCAAGTCGTAATACAGTTTATGCAATCGGATAAAACATGAAAGAACTCTAATGTTTAATTTTGCAATGTCAATTATTTTTTAGAATATTTACAAGCTTGCTTGTATATATATAATTAAATTAATTAAATGACCGATCAATGTTTTAATTTTGTTTTCAATGTTATTGTTCCTAATCGTTTTTCTTAGGGTAACTCGAAATTCACATTTATGAATTTGATGATTGCTTTTAGATAAGATGTGTGTTTGAAGAAATTATATGAAAAAAGTCTTTATATCATATTAATAAAATATATATCTCTGAATTTCTTTGTAGAATACTCCTAAAAATCCATGTGTACATACTATAATATGTTCGTACTGGTTTCATATAAGGAATGAGATAGAGAACATATAATCGTGTAAATCAACTTTATTTTATATATATAATATATAACACAAATTTTGTGTACTGCTTCTATTATTATATAATAATAGAACTAGTCAGTTAGCTGCCACTGCACAAAAAGGAACGATTTATGCAACTACTCGCATAAATATGGTGGATACAATACGTATGATTGCTACAAAGTACATCTCTCTCTTTCTGTCTCCTTTTGTCTTTAACCCTAGAACCCTAAACACCAAGAAGTTACGTAAACCCTAAACATGGGTAAATTTTACCCCCAGAGCATTTTTATTTGCTCATAACTTCCGGAAAAATGATCGAAATTTAACATTTTTTTTTAATTAAGATAAAAAAACCTGGAGGAATGTAAGTCTATTAGTTTTTGCGATTTAATGAAGGTCATTCAGCGAAGAACAAAGTTGAAAAAAGTTATAATGAAAAAACAAAACATGTTTTTTAAGAACGATCACGTTTGAAAAGTTTGGGTAAATTTTACCCATGTTTAGGGTTCTAGGGTTAATATGCCTTATAAATTATTTCGTTCAAATGAGCACATCAAAACGTTATTCTATCTCTTACGCACTAAGTTCCCGTTGTATTGTCTATATTTACAGATACAGATGTATATAATTGTCATTAAGGCAATTTGAGTTTCAAAGCAGGTACAATAGATGGATGCAAAACATGTTTTTCTTTCTTCTTTTTCCGATAATTAAATAACCAAGTAATTCTCGTAGACATGCGTCTGACAAGTAGAGCGTACGATAAATTATTAGTACCAGTTTTGCGGAATGAGTATGAAGTTCACGTGTGCAGTCCAATGCTATTGTTTGAGCTTCGTTTTGAAACTTCTGTAACCTGCACCACATTCGACTATTACACAATACAACTCTCTTCCTATAAACTATACATAAATGTTGTGTACACATATATGTATAATTTACAACAAGAGTTTATATAAATGCTGAAATCAATAAGTACGCAATCACTAAACTTACATTCTCCTTGACTTGTTGGTTGTAAAATAAAGTCAAGTTTCTTACGTATGAGCATATATATATCTCGAGAGGTACATATAACAAGATACAAAGTGCTCTTCTACTACCGTAAATAGAGAATAGCTTCGGGGAAAAGAGAATTTTCACATTTTTTGTAATTTTCGTTTTGTTTTCGGTCTAACGTGTCTTTGTGTGTATATTCATTGTAAATATAAAAGATCACATAGGTACAACAATATCTTTCAATACATGCTTCAAAGACTAAATTGCGTATTATCGTTTTATCAATTTTCTAACTTTTTCTAGACACTTCAATTCGTCGCGGTCGACGTACTGCATGCAAATTGCCATAGGCACTTATGTCATAAAATTCGTTTATAATCATTATCGTTATGTTGTACATTCTATTCCGTTTCGAGGAGTGGTTTATTTGATCTTGTTGTTTTCTTCAAGGAAACGCGTCTCTAGCTCGCGTTTAAAAGTTGGTGTATTTACATAATATCATTAGCCCGATGCACTTGTAAGCACGGCTACCTATAACCGTTTTTTCACTTCGTCAGATACAAACACAATGCATGGGGAGAGAAATGTATGAACTCGAAGAGAGTTATTCACCGTAAAGGACTGCCTCTACAATTTGAACATATAGAAAAAAAATTTCTATGGTGACTGTTTATGCACAATTAGAAATTAAATTTATGATTTGAAAGTAACATACGCGCGTTCAAGAGAAACATAGAGTATGAGATATGAACACAAAGTACGAGATACAAGAAATACGAGATACGAGAAGCAAGAAATAAATATACGTTCCCTCAACTCGAGTACACAGCGAATTCGTATAATGCTAACATAATCGCTGCACTTGCGAACGATATCCTTCGAAGCAGATTTCATATTTAGATTTGTTGAATGAAAATTGTACAATAGATCTAAATTAATGATCACATGCTGATATATGCCGTCAACAGATTCTCAGTATAACTCAAATTTGAGCAATATTAATCTTACCAGTTTGCATTTAATTAAATAATGATCGATCATGATTAAAAAATCGTTTGGAATAACCACATTCAAATAAGATGTATAATGAGTCGAATCTCAGAGGAGTAATCGTTTTGCTTATGTCTCCTAAATAATATTACATATTTCTTAATATGTGTATATACGTGTGTATATGATGTATAGATGCATGTGTATGTATATATTTGTATGTATATATGTGCGTATGTATGTATATATGTATGTATCAATATCGCATGTGTATATAGAAGTATGAACAGATAAATATCTACATATTTAACATAAGTTGTAATATGAGGGTTGACGTAATTACCGAATTCACTGGACAATAACTACGCTATAAATCGTTCATAAATCAGGTATAAAAATTAGACTAAAAACTAATCTATACTCTGCTCTCTATCTTCTTAGTTCCACTCGCCGGTTGAGATGCAATTGTAACTTCACTGACTTCGTCTGTTTCTGATTGACTCGATGTGTCAGAACCGTCATCCATTTCCTTCCTCTGAGTTCATAAATGTAATGTTTATTTAAATCTTTTCTCGTTTATCATAGGAGATATCGTTTTCCAGAACTTACTCTTTAGAACTAATATTATAAAAATAAATGAATTACATGTATAGTTTATTTACCTTTTGGGAATCATGTATATCACGAAAAGCTCTTTGAACATCTGGATTGCTTTCTAAAGTGGAGGACTGACTGGACGGAGGATGCGAATATTCAGAAGTATTTTCCTCATCAGAAGCTAATACCACTTCTGTTCTTTCGGTCGTTTGTTTAGATCTTCTTAATCTGCAGCCGGGAGCTATTGGCCTCCTTGCGATACTGTAACATATACATGAACATGTGGGTGCATGTGTGTATATATATATATGAAATGGTATAATTACAATTTATAAATATTTAGAAATTTAAATACAATTTAAATATTTAGCAATAAGCATCGAATAAATTTGCAAAAATAAAATATAATAAATGTATTATATACAACTAAATATACCTTCTTCGTCGCAAGTAGTTATAAGTATAGCTCGGGTCTTCCCCCTCTTCATCTGACCAGCTCTCTTCACATGCATCATCTTCGCGATCATCCGTAGTGTCTGTTCGCGCTATAATGTCGGACTGTTCTTGCTGAATATTTGATCCATTGACGTTAATACCGCAAAAGTGAATTAATTTGGCCGGATCTTCTTTATTCCTACTACAATTATTTTACTGAATTATTGCTAAATTATATTAATCAATGTTAGTTTTTATAAATAATCTCTTAAGACATTTTAGTTTCAACAGCTATTTTAATTAATGCTAAAGAAAAATCGATTATTTCATTAGACAAACATCTTATCTCTATAATAGAAATCATCAATATGTTTTATTCAAATTATAAGTAATGTATAATGGACGTGCGATTCAAAATTTCGATTTCAAGATCAATTGTAAATTATTTACAGTTTCATTATGTAAAGTTGTCAATTCGTAATTTACTTTTTAAGGATTAACAAATCACGTGTGTGGTAAAGATAAATTTAAAATTTTAGATAGTATTTTGCAATACCTATGAGATATTAGGACACTCTCGCCGTTTCCATTGTCAATAGGTGAGATAAGACGATTCGCATTTATAATTTCACTGACTTTTCTGCCAAGTGTTTCGAGATTATCGTCGTCGCTGCAATCCTTCAAACGTTCGTTTCCATTGGAATTATTTTCATCCATAGGTTCAGGACTGGAGCATGGACTAGATTCTATTCTATAATGTGATTCCGGCAAAACTGGATTCCCGTTTAGACACTCCGCCACTGACTTATTCAACGAGTGTTTCCTGACTGCGTCCAAAGAACATCTCTCCGTTAGAGAATGCGCTGCATTCGCTATCGGACTGTGATCTGTTTCGCTAATGTCCATGATGTCCGTTTGCGTGTGACTATCGACGAATCTCGTAGATACTTCTATGCTCTAATAAAAAAGAATAATACCAACGTGTAGTAAATATTGATGCTAATTATTAAACTGTAATATGCAGATAGTTTCCATACTTTCACAGCATAAATTTTATATTTGTAAAAAATTTAGCTGATGAACAAAACGTTCCTTATAATAAAATATATGAAAAAGATATATTATTGTTTTAATTATTATAAATTAATAACTTATTTACTGTATGTGTGTTTCACATACTACTGTATTTCGTTAAAATAACTTATCATTTGTCGTACATTATCATTAGTAAAATTCTTACTTTTCTTTCACGATGAGGACTCGATCTAGGACTGGAGCTCATGCCGCAGCCTGAACCAACTCTACGATGTCTGTATTTACGTTGCTTAAAACTGTTGCTTGGTGCCAAAATACTTTCTGGTTGGTTTGATTCGTTCAGTTGTGTGTACATAGTGGCTTTGACAGGACTCTGTGGCAAATCTGTGGGTGAAGGTGGGGTAGTAGGCGTAGATGAAGTAGATAAGTGTGCCGTGCCGTTCCGTTTGCGATAAAGCCTCTCCTGAGCTTTCAATAAAGGACGGACAAGACGTTTCTTGCATTGCTTATATCCGGATTGTTGTTCTCTCCTGAAAATACATTTATTTCTATTTGATTTGAGTATATGTGCAACGGCATCGTCTGTATTCAGAAAACTTATAGCATAATATGTTACTTACTTTATCACATCTCGTTCACGCAGCTCCAATTGTAATAACACGGCGCTTAATTCTAAGTACAGATTGTTAGTGCGTTCGAGTTTGCGCTCATAATGTTCTCTGATGTCTTGAGCGTGCCGTAATTCGTCTTCCCTTCGCCGAATCAAGTCGGCTTCGAAACGCGGACTGCTATTATTGTTCGATTGCATCTGCATCATGTGTTCTCTTATTTGCTTTTTCCAAGATTGCTGTAACATAAACAATTTTGTTATCACATAATTTACCCTATATATATATGTGTGTATATATATACATGTGTGTGCGTGTGTGTGTGTGTGTGTGTGTGTATGTGAGTCACATTTATTCATATAATTTATTCATAAATTATATAGAAAGCACTTGAAATAGTTTATTTATAAAAACAAATTCCGGAAATTGTATTAAAATAAAGAAGATTGATTTCTATTTGTTTAGAAAGGTATAAATAAAAACATATAAGGATTAATGACTGTACCTGTGCTTTAAAGTAATCTTCGGGTTTTGTAGAGAGCACATCGACGGCTGCAATCGAGAGATGCATCTCGATAAGCTTGAAGGACGGTCTATTGCGCGGCTTAGCTGCCCAACATTGTTTGACCAATAGACCGTAACCCTCCGGACAGCTGTTTGGGATCGGCAAACGAAGGGAATTGTTGCCTACTCCCCAAATAATGGCGGAGGAATCCACATCTTTATAAGGTATCTCGCCGCTAAGTAATTCCCATAGCACGACGCCGTACGACCATATGTCTACCTTTTCCGAGCACGGTTCATTTCTGATAATCTCCGGCGCCATCCACGCTACTGTACCGGCAAAACTCATCCTCGTGCTGATCTCATTCCATTCCCTGCTTGTTCCGAAGTCACTAATCTTCACCACTTCCTTCTGTCCTATTAGAACACTGCAAGTACAACAATTTTCTCGTTATTCTGCGGCAATTACTTTATTATAAATGTATAGAAATCTCAAATATATTCTATTTATTCTATTTACAAAAGATAACTCCGTATTTTTATTTATCTTTACAGGTAGAAATGTATCACAAGATTCTATATCTAGGCAAGCCACCTTTCATTGCCTTAAATATTTGGGTAAATTTGAAATTTTTTCTTAGCAGAAAATGTCGAGAGACTTTCATTTAAATTTACTAAAAAATCCCTATATGAAAAAATTTGTGGCACATCGTAAATATGGAACAGCTTAAATTTTTTTGAGTAGATTGATATCAACGAAAATATCTATCGAAGATATATTATCCTTCGCATTATTCATTTACTTTGGACTTTTGAGATCCCTGTGGATAATCTTGTGGGAATGAAGGTATGCCATTCCTGCAGCAATTTGCTTTGACCATGACACCAATCTAGTAGGAGGAACCGGTTCCCCTGCTCTTAGAAGGTCGTACAATGGTCCGTATGGACAAAATTCCATTATTATGCAATAGCACGGGGCTTGCGTGCATACTCCTCTGCAAACGTAAAACAAATGTACTTTACAATTGAACTTACGTTGATATAGAATAAGCAGCAATAATGTGAAAGAAACAGCATATCTTACTTGAATTGTACAATATTCGGGTGATTTAGCTTCCGCAAATGGCGTATGTCAGTCTCTCTCGGTTCTCTCACCTTTTTCACAGCTACAATTTCCTTATTTAGTTTCCCGCTAAATACTGCACCTTGAGCACCGGACCCAAGCCACTGTAGCTCGCTAATCGATTCAAAAGGTATCTCCCAATCATCCGCTGAAATGGAATTCCACATTAATCGTCGCATCAAATATTAATGGCTGAATTGCAGACTCGGTCTATTTTTATTTTGTTCGCCACGAGATGTATCATAAAATGATCTTTGAACTTTCCTGTGAATTTCTACATATGCCAAATTTGCATATAAAAAACATAAAACTATATATCGAAGGTACAAAGTTTCTTGGCAGACTCGCCAAAATTTCATCGAGAAAAAGGACAAAGATAAAGTGGAGGAGGAAACCACTCAAGAAACGTGGTTTGTGGAACACTTACTCGAATGACCTTTGATTTTCTCGTTGACAGCAGCCTTCGATAGCATAGTCCAAACAGGGCGCATGCATCCTAGTATGCCCTCAACCCAACTAGATCGTTGCGAATCGAGACTTCCCGACCCGGGACTGCACTTGTCACTGGAATTGCTATTGTTTTCCGAATTGTTGTGACTGCTGTTGGGTAATTGAGCTTCTCGTGGATCGGTGATTGCGGCACTCCCTGCGATTGCACTTAGCTGACCCAGCTCTTCTTGGATGCATAGCATGCTAAAAATGTAAAAATTGCGAAGTTCATTAGATATTTGTAGTGAGAAGCCGCATTTACAGCATTGTCTTACGCGAGAAAAAGGATAAATAATTTCACATGTCTGCACGCGACTAAATACAAAGAAAGGAGGAGAAATGTTGAATCAATAAATTCACTATAGATCAGTTTATATAATCTTATTGTCACACTTTAATATTGATCCAAACGTCACATCCAAACACTTTGGGACCACTTCAGTGAAGTGGAACATCAATTTTAGCTAAAACAATACGCAAGTTATTAATACAACAACTTGATCATAGAAACTGATTTATAGTGAATTTATTTATTGCACTAAACAACTGTGCATTGAACAACTTTGTATCTAATTAGTTTCCCATTATGATTGTATATCGAAGAGCCTTATCCCTGCTAAATTCAACTTTTCATTGAATTCAAATTAACGTCGATCAGCGTCCGTATGTGTATCGCACATACGTGCACAGAGGCACGTATTTGTTCACACGTCAACGTGCAATCGGCACTCATAATCCAGAAGATGAAAACAGCATACAGAATTAATTGCAGTGCGCTTTGTGAGCAAATTTTTCCATTTTCGCACGTTCTTTGTTAGCCGACACTGGCCGTCTCTTTCTCTCTCTCTCTCTCTCTCTATCTCTGTCTCTCTGAATATTCAGGTGCTCGCTGCACCGTAAAACGTTAGTATATTCGTAGCGGCGTGCATCCTCCTTGTTGTACACATTACACTGTCGCGCCTCACCATACAGAAACATACTATTCCCTGCTTCTTATCGAATGTAGCTCGCAAAATATGATATCGTTTTTCTTTTCAAATATTTCGCAAAAACAAAAAGGAGGCATACGCGAGATATTAGAAGTTTGCAAATTTCAACTATCGCTAAATTTACAATAAATCATTCACGAGGACGCAACATTTCGCGAATCTTCCCGGTACTCTTCAAACATCCTTTTTATTCTCTATATGATAAAAAAAACATTTTATATTTGCGTTAAAATCGATCCGTGTAAAATTTTTGTGTTAAATTTTTGACATAGCCGTATGTGAGTTTAACATATTTGTGTTATTTTGTCTATTGTATATTGAATTCATATTTACTATTTGTAAATGTTAAAATAATGCAATAGTGTCCAAGTGTTACATTTTAGTATTAATTTTCGACATATTATTTGTTTACATATTCGTCTTGTGTTAAATTAACAAAATTTAAAGTGGATGAATTGGGTCACGTAAAATATGTTAAATCTTTAACACAGAATCTTTTCCAATATATTTATTTTTCGTAAATTTTTATATTTTTTTCTTATCTTTTCCTTACCTTTACTTTTAATAGAGAGAGACAACTTTTCTAATCGTATATAAATATAAAAAGAACTCTCCTCATTCGATCTGCTATTGTTCTGCTATTGATACGTTTTTTAAAGTGTATTGCGAAGAAGTGATCCAACCAAAAGACGAATCGACGAATCACATGTAATTTGGTCTTTCACAGTCCGATGAAAGATAAAATATCTACGTCGTATAACATCACGCAGACCGCGATAATAATCAATCGGCAGATTGGGTCATGGATTATATCTTAGAGGATAAAATTCAACGAAAATCGATGCATTTAAAGTTATTTGATACGTGAACATTTGCATTTGTGTTTGATCAAAGCTACGGAGTCCTAAACTGTTAATATTAACCATTGTGCCATCTGTGGCATAGTGTCATCAGCGTACCAACTCAATAGATATCATATTTCCATTGTTCTGGACACGACAATCTAATTTCAAGCAAGAGGAGGAAGAACCCACATACACACACACACATACCCGTATATTAAGGTGACATCGAAATATTGACTATACCATATCACTAGTTGCCTTATCGCAACTCTGAGATTCCCGTGCACTATTATCGGACAAGTGTTTGATAATAAACGAGCTCCTAATAGTAATACACTTTTAAAGACAGCGACGACCTAATATATTTTATATCATTCGCGTCAGTCTCAAAACTTGCTGTCAAACAAAAATATGGTACCGTTAAAATGATAAATATAATAAGGATAATATATGATAAGGATAATATAAGATTGTCTCATTTCCCGTGCCTCTCTCTTTTTGTTCTGTTATCCAGTTTATGTATGTGTGTGTCTTCGCTTTCGGCTTCGAGCATCAGCCGAAGGTAATATTGTGTTGGCGACAATCACAACGTGTCGGCGAGACGCGTTTTTTTCAAGGTTACACGTGGCGAGAGGTGGTTTGCGCGTTGTGTCAATGACATTTCGCGGCTAACACTGACTGGTGGACACTTATCTCCGCTATGTGCATACGGGCGGCATCTGGCAAGCACGAGAAACCTTCCATTATCGCTGATGAAACGCGCATCAGTGCTGAAACGCTCGATCTTAATGACACTTTAATTGACAAATTCTCTGGTCGATCGCTTAATTCGTTAAGATATCGAAATTCTCTTTAATTGCCTGCGGCAATCAGTTATTATAATATAGTTACCGTAAAACTTAAATTTTTCTGTTATCGTTATGCCACAAAATTTCTTAATTTTACTCGTAGCAATCAGCTATCATAATATAATTATCGTAAAAAAAATTTCTTAACTTCTTTCATTACTATGCAACATAAAGGAAAGCAGAACAAAGAATGAATATTAGTTATGAAACTAAGCTGAGAAAGCTTTGGCTTTCAAGTCCTGTGCTATTATTTTTTTTCTATTTTTGTTATTATTTATTTAATTAATATTAAAATTTGGATTGTGTAATAAGTAATTTCGGATTCCTCAGATAACACGAAATGATTATATTTATTTGCATGTCGTTATAAGTTTATATAAAACAATGTGTGCATAGGATGGCAAAAGATTACAGATCAAAACAATGTATATATATTGTTTTACAAAATTATAACGGCATCAAAATATAATAGCTTTATTTTATCTAAAAATCCGTAATTGCTTATTACACACACAAATACACAAACACGCACGCACGCACACACACACACACACACACACACACACACACACACACACATATTGCCCAATATTATTATTTAATATTAATATAATAATTTTATTATTATTATAATATTAATTCGATTATTATTTTAATATTAATTTTATTGACTCGATTAGATATATGACGTGAAAATGTGTGGATACTTGATTAACGTGTTGGATAAGTTTGGAATTATTTTAGATTGATAATGATTAAGTTAAGTTATGGAGGTCACACAAATTATTAGTGAAAATTATGTAGGAATAAGTACATAAATAATGCAAGTGAAGGTAAAACAAAACATTAGATAAGAAAGCAGGATTTAGGACAAAAAAAAGTACATAAGTAATAGAAGTTATCATGTCATGTCGAATAGTTAGCGTAATATAAATAATGTAGGTAAACTTAAATTAATGTTTAACATTTAAGTAATAGGGATGATATTGTAAAGTCAATTAGAGAGAGTCAATGTAAATATAAAAATATTAAATAGATACAAATAAGGAATGGATAGATAGAATAAATAAATAAAATAATATAACGAACTAAATTTAGAAATAAGGAATGAATATAAATGTATGTGGTTAAGGAATAATTGTAAACCAAGTCCCTTTTTTGGCTATGTGTAAACTGAAGGAAAATATACTAATAATATTAATTTTATTACAATTTTAATTGTTTAAGTCGGAGATTCATTAATTAGAAATAATTTGCATGTTCAACATGTTGATAATTTATGATCGGTGATAGACTGTTGCGAAATTTCTTCTATGAAATGAACAAATTCGCTAGAGAATTTGTTCTTTGTCATTCAATGACAACACGCGTCGACGTTCTGCGCATTCATGCGATATCGCCCACACGTCGCAGAAATTTAGAATGTCACGTCCATGGTAATGTAAATTAATCTGATGCAAGTTTTTCACACATTCAATCATCATCATCATCATCATCATCACGAGATTTATATTACCGGTACCGATAATATTGTATCATCTTATCGAGTGCTCCATTCGTTGTGCGAACGCAGCACAGTGCATATCGAGCGCAATGCAACAATGTGTGGCGTGCAACGCGGATATCGATCGCGTGTTCTTTTACCGTGTCGTACGGCGGACGTATTCCTAATTTTAACTCTCAACTGCCGCGAATAGTACTAGTTATGCGCTATTGGGTTCTCCAACCGGAGACCATTTTCAACTCGAAGCAACTAACACCAGAATTAATACACGTACTGATATATCTTTAAGAAAAAAAAACAGATTCACTTAATCGATATGTTTAATCAGTTCCTCGAATTGCCGCGGTATAATCGAGTAGCATTTTTATCGAAGTGAAAAACGTACATGGTAAACAAAACTTAATATCAAACTAGTATGTTTAAACTAGCAATTACTTTTTTACATATGCAATGATATGTAATTTCATGAGAAGAATGTTAAAGTTTTAAACTTCAACACTGTTATAACTTTCTTTGAATATCACAATAACCTCATAAGAAGTATAATATGATTATTTTGGTAATAATGATATCTTCTTTCGACATTTAAAAACATTACATTCTCAATCCGATATCTTGTATTTTTTATTCGTGAAAATTATTTTTGAATAATAAGAATATATTTTTCCTTGTTGAGTCGTGCATACAAAATGTATTGAAGTTACTTTAAAGTAACTTTGAAGCAAATATATCTAGTAACTTATTCTCGTGTTAAACGCTGTATAATCTAATATTAAGATTTGCATGTAAAAAATAAAGATATTTCCGCGAAACAAGAATGTTCTTTCTTTCTGTGTAGTTGTAAAAGCAAACGACGTTCAGGAGCCGAAGTTCTTCGCCAGGAGCCGAAGTTCTTTTTCTCCGGCCTTGTTTGTTCTCATTCGTATGATGCAATTGCTGCGGTTTGTATCGAAGATAAAAATTCGTATGAGACAACATATTACATATACAATATGTTTATCTCCGTCTTTGATTGTTG